TTTGTTTTTAAAATAACTATTTTGAATTTGAAATGCATATCAAAATTTGCATAGTTTAAGCTTTTAGTTCAGGTTTTCATGATCGTTAAACCGGTTACAGTACATATCAAAACTTTAACAACGCGGATGTCAAAGAGATCCGAGTTGTGAAACTGAACTCGAGATTTCATATTTTAACAGTCGTGTTAAGTTGGACTAGTTTCCGAAAAACAAAATCTCTTTCGCCAATGGGATAAGGTGAATTTAAAGACGAGTTCCCGGATGCAGCATTGTTTTTTTTAAATTTATAAATAAGGTTTAGAAGAAAGAGTGGGTTAAAAATCGAAGGGCTGTTGTTTCACGTGTTTGTATATAGGAGAGCAGGCCTCAAAGTTTACCCCCCCCCCTCCACACACACACTTCTTAAAAAATGTGCAGCTACTACCCCTCAGATCCGAGCACTACTTGCTGGGCATGTAAGGGAAGTAAGCCACGCATTTGTTTACACGTCCCCCAGTTCGGCTCTGTCAGTTTATACGCGAGAGGAATAAACAAAGGGGAGATAACATATAAACAAAGCAATTTATAGTAAAGGGGAACAACCTGATTTGAATAAGATACCATGAACGAAAGAATCACGTCATAGTTTAAATTCAGGTTTTTAGAAAAAAAAAAATTTTAAATGAAGAAAAATGTCTAATTTACATATTCTAATTACATTTCTTGTTTTGTTATATTTATCTTTATAACATTTCCATTTTAAGTTTAAAAAGAAAAGAAAACAGAATAATCTCGTCATTGATGACTACGTTTTCTCCAAGTCTCATCCAGAAAAAAACTGCATTTTGTAACAGAAATCTGGATATATTTACGTTTAATTAATTTTTGATTTCAAACTATATCCATGAAGAATTTGAACAGCTTTAAAAAAACTACAAACTCGCACACTCACACAGATGTTCAGATTTAACAACGTCATTAATGGGTCATTTGGGGTCGTCCATAAAAGACGTCACACTCGAATTTTAGCCGTTTTTTCGCGTTTTAGAAAACAGTTTCAATAAATTGTAGTAGGAATTGATTAAAATACTCTAATTTGACAAAGTTCAGACGTATTTTAAGAAAAATTCAACTGCAATTTTTTAGGGGGTCGTAGGCTGATGTGTGACGTCATTTTAGTGGGGGGGGGGGTCTGGCTTTTTGTGACGATATGTGACGGAGGTAATAATCGTCAAAAAAACTACAGCATCTTAGTTTATTCGTAGATGAAGTTAAGCCATGCCATCGTTCCAGCACCTTACGTTTAAACCAAAGTTGACAGGACTAATCTTCTTTTGGACTTGATACCTCTTTTGTCATACTAGACTGTAGCGCGGACGTCATAGTTTACCAATAGCAACCACTGCCCATATGTGTCTTGCTTTTCTCTGTACTTTCATTTTCATTTCATACAACTTAGCATTCTTGGCTGTGGCTTATAGTTATAAATATGTTTTTTAAAAATCTTGACATCTGAGTCTTGTTATATTAAAAATGTTTTATAAATAGCATGTTGATATCTCAGTTTTAAAATATACAATATAAAAATCTGTTTTGATATCCTAATGTATTTAAAAAAACACAATGCTAAGTATCAAATAGGTTCCTACATTTTAATAAAGCAAAAATAAAATAAATACTATCTTCAGATATCTTAATAAAAGAATGAAATGCTACGATTCAGATTTCATAAGAGTTTTGTAGATGTTACCGTAGACTGTGAGAAAGAAGGACACCTTTTAGTTCTTCTACAAGATAAAATTAAATCCTGCTGGCATTTATACTTCTTCCCGACGTAATTTGTCGTCACTAATTCCAGACACGCTTCTCCCCCCCCCCCCCCCAACCACACCACCCCCTCCCCACAGCGTATCTGGTTCAGCACTGGAATGTGGACTCGCACGAAGGGTCAGAGTTCAACATGCACAACCTTGACATTACATCCTCGTGTGCTATTATTTATGTTGTATTTTTTTTTGTCCAAGTGTGTTTTGTTTTTTAGTTTTTACTGTAGTATTATTTTTTTTCGTTTTACCTCCAATCTAATTATGTATTACGTGCTAGCATTTTATGGCCCGTTGACTTCGATTTCAGCCCGTTATTCTTTCTGGATTTTCTTTAAAGCCATTTGTCCATGAAAAAGAAAGCACACGGCAGCATTTGTTTGAAATTTGAGTTTTTTCTCGCCTAGAAGGGTTTTTGTCCCCGGCTAACGAACCTCATCTGCCCTGGGCTCGAACTCCGTATTTCTAGACTAAGCATCCACACGTACCTCCCTTGACACATCGTCAACTGTGGTGAATTGTTTTATTTTTATTTTTTGGTGAGTGTTTGTGTTTTGATTTGATTTTACTTTATTTTGTGTGTGCTCCTGGTAGAAGTTGTGATGTCTAGTTATTGAGTTATTGAGTCTTTTTTTATATTTTGGTGCAAGTTTGTACTAACATGGTTCTCTTGGTAGTATTTGTGGTGGTCTATTTATAAGTTATTGAGTCTTTTTGTTATTTTGGTGCAAGTTTGTACTAACATGGTTCTCTTGGTAGTATTTGTGGTGGTCTATTTATAAGTTATTGAGTCTTTTTGTTATTTTGGTGCAAGTTTGTACTAACATGGTTCTCTTGGTAGTATTTGTGGTGGTCTATTTATTAGTTATTGAGTCTTTTTGTTATTTTGGTGCTAATTTGTACCAAGATGGTTCTCTTGGTAGTATTTGTGGTGGTCTATTTATTAGTTATTGAGTCTTTTTTTATATTTTGGTGCAAGTTTGTACTAACATGGTTCTCTTGGTAGTATTTGTGGTGGTCTATTTATAAGTTATTGAGTCTTTTTGTTATTTTGGTGCAAGTTTGAACTAACATGGTTCTCTTGGTAGTATTTGTGGTGGTCTATTTATTAGTTATTGAGTCTTTTTGTTATTTTGGTGCTAATTTGTACCAAGATGGTTCTCTTGGTAGTATTTGTGGTGGTCTATTTATTAGTTATTGAGTCTTTTTTATATTTTTGTGCAAGTTTGTACTAACATGGTTCTCTTGATAGTATTTGTGGTGGTCTATTTATTAGTTATTGAGTCTTTTTGTTATTTTGGTGCTAATTTGTACCAAGATGGTTCTCTTGGTAGTATTTGTGGGGTCTATTTATTAGTTATTGAGTCTTTTTGTTATTTTGGTGCTAATTTGTACCAAGATGGTTCTCTTGGTAGTATTTGTGGGGTCTATTTATTAGTTATTGAGTCTTTTTGTTATTTTGGTGCTAATTTGTACCAAGATGGTTCTCTTGGTAGTATTTGTGGGGTCTATTTATTAGTTATTGAGTCTTTTTGTTATTTTGGTGCTAATTTGTACCAAGATGGTTCTCTTGATAGTATTTGTGGGGTCTATTTATTAGTTATTGAGTCTTTTTGTTATTTTGGTGCTAAATTGTACCAAGATGGTTCTCTTGGTAGTATTTGTGGTGGTCTATTTATAAGTTATTAAGCCTTTTTGTTATTTTGGTGCTAATTTGTACCAAGATGGTTCTCTTGGTAGTATTTGTGGTGGTCTATTTATAAGTTATTGAGTCTTATTTTATTTTGGCGCTAATTTGTACCAAGATGGTTCTCTTGGTAGTACGTACCATGTCTAGACATTTAGTTATTGAATCTTTCTGTTCTTTGCTATTTTGAAGCTAAGTTCGTGCCAATATGGTTTTAATCTAAATCTGCGTAGCGTAGTATTTGTGTAGCGAACATGAACTTGAATGACAGTGTAATCGGCTATGGAATTTCTATTAACCCATTTCAAACCGTTGATGTAGAACCGCCTTTCATAATAAAATTGAACATTATATTCATATTTACAGAACTATCCTCTAAAAAGAACGAAAATGAATGAGAATGTTCCGAGTGCAATAAAGATTCATATCAGACACATTGTGTTAGGTTTCTTTCTAATAAGGCCCAAAGTGTTTCTTCCTTATTTTCAGTTATACGCCTCTCAGGCATAAAAACTTCCACAAAATTATTGAAATTTTTTTCGAGTTGTCGTTCCTGAAAATAAATGCCCCTACTCAACAGATTCAGCACCCCCCCCCCCTCAATCGTCTGGAAAAAGGAAAAAAATTATATAATTTCAAATTCGAAGGGACGTGTTAAAGAGATGTGAGGGGGGGGGGGGGGGAAAGGACTGGCTGGAGGTGGGAGAAGGGTGAGGTTGAGTAGAGGTTTTAGCATCAGGTGCTATGTTGTGGGTTTTGGTGCAAAAGGGTTGATTTATTCTAACTGTAGTCATACCGATTTTATCATAAATTATATATATATATATATATATATATATATATATATATATATATATATATATATATATATATATATATATATATATATATATATGTATAGCCATATACATATATAATGATTTTGAATTGAAATACCGTGTTTCTACTCAGTCGATGTATTTTCTCCCTATTCCAAATTGAATCCAATCCTATTCAATGCTTAGAATAACTTCTAACAAAAAAAAAAACATCTTTAGAACATTACGATTTTAAAAAACAATAAAAATCTCCTTCCACAAAAAAAGCCATGATCTATTTATAAACAAATATAACCAAAATCTCCTTACAGCACAAAAATACGTAACCAACACATCCTTACACCACAAAGACATAATCTCCAAAAAATAACATGTATCCAAAATCCCCTTACAAAGACAATAATCTCCTTACTCCATAAATACATTTCACAAAATATTCTTACATCACAAAACACGTCACCAAAATCTCCATACAAAAAGAGTAACCCAAATCTTCTTACACCGCAAATACATACAATCAAACACTCAAAACACAACATATACATGTAAAAAAAATCTCCTTACATTACAAATACATACAACAAAAAACTCGTCACACAACATATACATGTAACAAAATATCCTTACATCACAAAATCATGTAACCACAATTTCCTTACACAAGAAAGTCATGTTACCAAAACTATGCTAACTTCAAGCTGAAGCCCATGTTGAGGCGCTGTAGAGGGGAAACTTTGAGGCGCTGTACTGGGATAAACTTTGAGGCGCTGTGGAGGGGAAACTGAGGCGCTGTGGAGGCGAAACTTTGAGGCGCTGTAGAGGGGAAACTTTGAGGCGCTGTAGAGGGGAAACTTTGAGGCGCTGTGGAGGAGAAACTTTGAGGCGCTGTAGAGGAGAAACTTTGAGGCGCTGTAGAGGGGAAACTTTGAGGCGCTGTGGAGGGGAAACTTTGAGGCGCTGTGGAGGGGAAACTGAGGTGCTGTGGAGGGGAAACTGAGGTGCTGTGGAGGGGAAACTTTGGGGCGCTGTAGAGGGGAAACTTTGAGGCGCTGTAGAGGGGAAACTGAGGCGCTGTAGATGGGAAACTTTGAGGCGCTGTGGAGGAGAAACTTTGAGGCGCTGTGGAGGGGAAACTTTGAGGCGCTGTGGAGGGGAAACTTTGAGGCGCTGTAGAGGAGAAACTATTTGCTCATGAACTCACGACCAGAGGCCGCAGCTGTAATTTTATTGCCTGACTGGGCACATCTATCTTAGATGTTGTTATCTGTCCCGTCCTCCCCCTCGTTCACTTTCTACATTTTATCTGTCTCTCCCTTGTCCACTCTCTTCTACATTTTGTCTGTCTCTCCCTTGTCCCCTCCCTTCTACATTTTGTCTGTCTCTCCCTTGTCCCCTCCCTTCTACATTTTATCTGTCTCTCCCTCGTCCACTCTCTACATTTTATCTGTCTCTCCCTCGTCCACTCTCTTCTACATTTTATCGGTCTATCTCTCCCTTATCTACTCTCTGTTACAATTTATCAATGTCTCTCTTGTCCCCTCTCTGCTATGTTTTTAAATCAACAAAGAACCATAACATCAAAAGAGTTTTAAGGACGTCGTGGTCGGGTTATAGCGCGCTCGAATGCTAACCTGAAGATCTCGACTTCGGATCTCGATCAGGAACCAAGTTCTCATTACTTCCTTGAGTACACCCAGCTCACGTTAGGGAATCCAAAGCAGCTGTGCATAGTGTTGACAACACCATCTTTTAATATGCCGAGATTTATAAAAAAACATGAACTCTACTTCATCTGCCCTATGCATCGTTACATCTGAAAGAGTAACTTTACTAACTATGCTACGACAGTTCTGTTCACTTACGAAGCAGCAAATACCTTCAAGTTACTACACCATGCAATTTTCTCAATCCGAATAATAACAAAAATCAATACTTTAATTAGACCCCTATTGTGGTTTTAGAAAATCAAATACATTATTTTGTTGTACTATTATAAGTCATAACGATTTTTTTGTACTTTAACAATAAAGTCAGCGACTTATGACCTTGACATTTAGTAAATGTACTGTTAGCTACAAAGGCCAGTCTGACCTAATAGGCGACTAGTTTTTAACAACCACTTCATTCCGCCATGAGAGCATGTAAAGTTGCCCTAATGAAGGCGGGGCACTTTTAGGGGCTGGACGTACCCAACAAGCGACGCTTATTGTCAGAATATGGAATAAGGTGGTAGGGAGATAGAGAGAAAATTGGTTGGGGTTATTGAGGGGAGGGTGGGGTGGGGCGGATTAGAGGGGAGGGTGGGGCGGATTAGTGGGGAGGGTGGGGCGGGTGAGAATGAGAGTAAAAATGGGAAATGGGATGGAATAATCGCGAGTAAACAATTTTGGTGTAGACTGGACTATGGTGGTGTGAACTTGGTGAACATGTAAACATCAAAGGTGTAGTTGTTATATAAAAACAGTTGTGTCACCGTAGCATATGTAAGCAACCTTGTATTGAAATGGTGTCGAATATGTAATCAGGCTTAGTATAACCTACTTAGCACATGTAAATAGCCTTGGTATGATTGATTCAACGCATATGAACACCATTGTGTTAGGCTGCTAACCCGAAAGTCTCAAGTTCGAATCCGTGTTCATATTAATAGAACGTCCCTGGGTCCATCCAGCTATGATGGGTACCTAACTAATGTTGGGGAATGTAAAGACGCCTGGGCAAAATGCTGACCACACTTTCCCTTCATATGTCAAGGTCAAGCAACATATGAACTCTACTTCATTTGCCTAATGGATCGAAAGGTCTAAAAATCATTCTCTTACTTTTACTTTCTTATATGAACAACATTGCCATTACTTACAGATGTAGCAATATCACTAAAGCTGGCGTACACAAATTATGAGTTCATTACTCTGTACCATAATTACATTTACGTCAAAGTTAATATGCTCGCTACTATACATATCGATTTGCTTCCATAATTTGATAAATACATTCACTTTTCTTATAAAGAATTCTATTATGATATAGTTTATGTGTTCATCATATATGTTCAACTTGTAATCTTATGTCATTTTACAAAAGTTGATTCTTTAACTTATCTTTCGATGTGACTGTTCATGTTTCACACATACTAGAACTATGTTTCAGGAGTTTTAATGATTTGCGTTTATTTTAAAAGGCAAGAACTGTTAAAGGAATGACAGAAGGACAAAGTAATAACTATAGCAATAATAGCAATTAATGTAAAATTAAAAAAAAGAAATACTTTGTTTTAATTGAAAATTAAACAAAAATAAAAGAATTTATATTTTTTTCTATAATGAAAGCTAATAATATAAGTACAGTTTTATATTCTTATTAATTTATTACACTTATAATTATTCATATTAATAACCCTTAATACTATGAATTTTATATCACCTTGATTTGATTACGGACTGTCCCCTGTTAATAAAACCCCTTGAAAGTCCCCCATGAATCGGGAAATTCCCTATTCCATCTCTTGTCTCGTTAATAGAACAAGACATAAACGCATATTGTATTTGTATTGCACAACATAGGGGTGATCAATACAACAGAATGCGTCGTGTCAGCCTCTCTAACCCAAGACGTCAGACCCAATTACACCCATACGTCCCACGTCATCATGTCAGCCCTCTAACCCAAGACGTCAGACACAGTTACATCCATACGTCCCACGTCATCATGTAAATCTCTCTAACCCAAGACGTCAGACCCAATTACACCCATACGTCCCACGTCATCATGTCAGTCTCTCTAACCCAAGACGTCAGACCCAATTACCCCCATACGTCCCACGTCATCATGTCAGTCTCTCTAACCCAAGACGTCAGACCCAGTTACACCCATACGTCCCACGTCATCATGTCAGTCTCTCTAACTCAAGACGTCAGACCCAATTACACCCATACGTCCCACGTCATCATGTCAGTCTCTCTAACCCAAGACGTCAGACCCAATTACCCCCATACGTCCCACGTCATCATGTCAGTCTCTCTAACCCAAGACGTCAGACCCAATTACCCCCATACGTCCCACGTCATCATGTCAGTCTCTCTAACCCAAGACGTCAGACCCAATTACACCCATACGTCCCACGTCATCATGTCAGTCTCTCTAACCCAAGAGGTCAGACCCAATTACACCCATACGTCCTACGTCATCATGTCAGCCCTCTAACCCAAGACGTCAGACCCAATTACACCCATACGTCCCACGTCATCATGTCAGTCTCTCTAACCCAAGACGTCAGACCCAATTACCCCCATACGTCCCACGTCATCATGTCAGTCTCTCTAACCCAAGACGTCAGACCCAATTACCCCCATACGTCCCACGTCATCATGTCAGTCTCTCTAATCCAAGACGTCAGACCCAATTACCCCCATACGTCCCACGTCATCATGTCAGTCTCTCTAACCCAAGACGTCAGACCCAATTACACCCATACGTCCCACGTCATCATGTCAGTCTCTCTAACCCAAGAGGTCAGACCCAATTACACCCATACGTCCTACGTCATCATGTCAGCCCTCTAACCCAAGACGTCAGACCCAATTACACCCATACGTCCCACGTCATCATGTCAGTCTCTCTAACCCAAGACGTCAGACCCAATTACCCCCATACGTCCCACGTCATCATGTCAGTCTCTCTAACCCAAGACGTCAGACCCAGTTACACCCATACGTCCCACGTCATCATGTCAGTCTCTCTAACTCAAGACGTCAGACCCAATTACACCCATACGTCCCACGTCATCATGTCAGTCTCTCTAACCCAAGACGTCAGACCCAATTACCCCCATACGTCCCACGTCATCATGTCAGTCTCTCTAACCCAAGACGTCAGACCCAATTACCCCCATACGTCCCACGTCATCATGTCAGTCTCTCTAACCCAAGACGTCAGACCCAATTACACCCATACGTCCCACGTCATCATGTCAGTCTCTCTAACCCAAGAGGTCAGACCCAATTACACCCATACGTCCTACGTCATCATGTCAGCCCTCTAACCCAAGACGTCAGACCCAATTACACCCATACGTCCCACGTCATCATGTCAGTCTCTCTAACCCAAGACGTCAGACCCAATTACCCCCATACGTCCCACGTCATCATGTCAGTCTCTCTAACCCAAGACGTCAGACCCAATTACCCCCATACGTCCCACGTCATCATGTCAGTCTCTCTAACCCAAGACGTCAGACCCAATTACCCCCATACGTCCCACGTCATCATGTCAGTCTCTCTAACCCAAGACGTCAGACCCAATTACACCCATACGTCCCACGTCATCATGTCAGTCTCTCTAACCCAAGAGGTCAGACCCAATTACACCCATACGTCCTACGTCATCATGTCAGCCCTCTAACCCAAGACGTCAGACCCAATTACACCCATACGTCCCACGTCATCATGTCAGTCTCTCTAACCCAAGACGTCAGACCCAATTACCCCCATACGTCCCACGTCATCATGTCAGTCTCTCTAACCCAAGACGTCAGACCCAATTACCCCCATACGTCCCACGTCATCATGTCAGTCTCTCTAACCCAAGAGGTCAGACCCAATTACACCCATACGTCCCACGTCATCATGTCAGTCTCTCTAACCCAAGAGGTCAGACCCAATTACACCCATACGTCCTACGTCATCATGTCAGTCTCTCTAACCCAAGACGTCAGAGCCAATTACCCCCATACGTCTTACGTCATCATGTCAGTCTCTCTAACCCAAGAGGTCAGACCCAATTACACCCATACGTCCCACGTCATCATGTCAGTCTCTCTAACCCAAGACGTCAGACCCAATTACACCCATACGTCCCACGTCATCATGTCAGTCTCTCTAACCCAAGACGTCAGACCCAATTACCCCCCATACGTCCCACGTCAATGCAGTAAGGCAAAGTCTAAATCTGCCCTAATCTTTGGATTGCAGTGAGGATACACGATGCTAGACTATCGACACCGAACTTTAAGTTAATTAAGGTTACGGGTTAAAGTAGTAGTAAAAGTAAGTAAAGTACAGGTCACTTTTTAGACCTGACAATGCATAGGAAAGATGATGTAGAGTTTTCACTAGGATGAGGAAAATATGGCGTGGTGAAGTTTAAACCAGCCGTTTCTACTTTCCATAACGTGAATCAGACAATTCAAAGCTAGACTACTACTTATAAAGAATGTTCAGCTTTAATTAAGACGCGGGCTACCTAACTAATTAATTAAACTTGAGACGAGACGAAACTAGATATTGCTATTCGATCAGTTCTTCGCATTATTAAAGAGTGCGTGCATTATTCACGGAGACACGTATCCAAACAAACAAACAAACAAACAACTCCAAAACATATTTAGTGTACTAACCTATTCATGGAGACACATATTCAAACAAACAAACAAACAAACAAACAACTCCAAAACATATTTAGTGTACTAACCTATCATCCCCCACGACAAGCTGCCAGCCAAGATAATAAATAAAAGATTTACTGGTTTTGAATTACTTCCCTTGCACGAGAGATTATCTCCCTTCGATGCTCGTCCCACACCGCCGGATCTAATAATAGACCAACTCTGATGACGCCATGTTCCCACAATGCTGCTAGTTTATGTAGCCGAGGAGACACCCAGTCTCTGCAGTTTTAT